CCCCCAGGTGCCCAGGTTCTAGGCTGTTGTTTGTGGGAACTCATTACTAATTTTTTCTTTTTACTTGCTGTAGGTCTTTTCTTTCTTGAGAGAGAGAGAGAGAGGGAAGGAGCACACACTAGCAGGGGAGGGACAGAGGGAGAGAGAGAATCTTAAAGCAGGCTTCACGCTGAGTGCAGAGCCTGACGCAGGGCTCAATCTCACAACCATCAGATCATGACCTGAGCCAAAATCAAGAGTCAGACACTTAACCGACTGAGCCACCCAGGTCCCCATACTTGCTATATGTCTCTTACATTTTCTGTTTCTTTTAGAGTCGATGTCAGTAGTTTTCATCTTTTAAGAATTTGTGCATTTCATCTCTGCTGTCTAGCTCACTGACATACATTTTTTCATATTCTTCCCTTATAATCCTTTTTGCTTCTTTAAGATTGGTAGTGATGGGTCCTCTCATTCCTAATTTTAGACATTTGAGTATTTATCTTTGGCAGTCTAGTTGAGGTTGGTCAATTTTATTTATCTTCTCAACCAACTTTTGATTTTGTTTTTTTTTTCTGTTGTTTTTCTTTACTTCCATGTATTTCCACTCCAATCTTTAGGATTCCCTTCCTTCTGCTTGCTTTTGGTTTTGATTGCTCTTTTGTGTAGTTTCTTAGTGGGGGGAGAGTTAGATTATTCGAGATCTGTTTTCTAACACATGTAATTACAGACAAAAATCTTCATGTAATTACTACTTTCACTGCATCCCGTAAATTTTGGCATGTTTTTTCATTGTCATTAACCTGTATTTTTATTTTCTATTTTTTTAATGTTTTACTTACTTATTTTGAGGGGGGAGGGGCAGAGAGAGAGGGAGAGAGATAATCCTAAACAGACTCTGATGCAGGCTCCATCTCACAAACCATGGCATTCATATGTATTTTTAAATGCCCTTGTGGGGCGCCTGGGTGGCTCAGTCGGTTGAGCTCCCAACTTCGGCTCAGGTCCTGATCTCACGGTGCGTGAGTTTGAGCCCCATGTTGGGCTCTGTGCTGACAGTTCGGAGCCTGGAGCCTGCTTCGGATTCTGTGTGCCTCTCTGCACCTCCCCCACTCGCTCGCTCTCTCAAAAATAAACATTAAAAAAAATTTTTTAAGGGTCCTTGTGACTTTGACCTATTGATGCACTTGAGAAGACTGTTTATTCTGCTCTGTATGCGTCTGTTAGGTCTAGTTGGCTTATAGTGTTGTTCACATTTTGTTTCCATGTTGATCTTCTGTGGGGGTTCTCTCAATGACTGAAAATGAGAGACTGAACTCTCCAGTTGTCACTGAGTTGTATATTTCTCCTTTCAGTTCTGTCAGTGCTTACTTTGTGTATTTTGGGGCTCTGTTTTTAAGTACAAATGTGTTTGTAATGGTCACGTCCTTTGGATAGATGGACTCTTTTGGCATAGGAAACTACTTGTCAATGTTGCTAAGAACAATTTTGATCTGCAAGTCTTTCACTTCTATTAGTACAGCTCCTCCAGCTCTTCTGCTGTTTACAGTGTGCCATCTCCACTTTTGCTTTCAACCCACTTGTTTTGTCTTTACCAGTGCTCTTCATTTCTTCATGTGAATTTGAGTTACTATCTGATCACTTTTCATCTCAGCCTGAAAAAACACCGTTAGTATTTTTTGTAAAGTAGATCTGCTAGTGACACATTTTTTCAGTATTTGGAATTGTCTTCGTTCCCCCTTTCATTTTTATTTATTTTTTAAACATGCAGTTTCTCTAACACATAGTTTTTAATTTTTTTAATTTTCTTTAATGTTTATATATGTATTTTGAGAGAGAGCACATGAGCAGGGGAGGGGCAGAGAGAAAGGGAGAGGGAGGATCCCAAGCAGGCTCCACACTGTCAGCACACAGCCAGACACGGGGCTCAATCTCACAAACCGTGAGATCATGACCTGAGCTGAAATCAAGAGTCAGATGCTTATCCAACTGGGGTGCCCTAACCGTTTTCTTTCATTACTTGCAATATGTCACCCCACTGCCCCCGCCCTTTGTGGTTTCTGATGAGGAATCAGCTGTTAATCTTGTTGAGGATCTCTTGCATATGGTGAGTCATTTCTCTCTTGCTTTCAGTATTCTTTTTTTAATTGAGCTATAATTGGCATATGGTATTATATTAGATTCATACAACATGATTCAATTATTTGTCTGTATTCTGAAGTGACCACAAGTCCAGTTAGCATCCATCACCACACAGGTATGTTTTTTTCCCCATGATAAGAACTTTTAAGATCTACTCTCTTAGCAGCTTTCAAATATATGATACGGCATCATTAACTACAGTCACCATGCTGCACATTACATCCCCATGATGTAGTCATTTTATAACTAGAAATTTGTCACCTTTTGACCACCTTCACCCATTTCTCCTACTTTCCTTGTCCTTGTGTCTCTTTCCCTCTCCTCCTCTCCTTCTGGGACTCCCATTTGCAAATACTGGTTTGCGTTGTTGTGTCCCACAGGTTGCTGAAACTCTGTTCACAGTTTCATTCTGGTTTTCACACAGGACTATCTCAATTGACAGATCTTCAAATCTGCTGATTCCTTCATCTCTTTGCCCAAATCTACTGTTGAGCCTCTCTGGTGAATTTTTCGTTAGTTACTGTGCTTTTCAACTCCATAATTCCCATTTAGTTCTTTTTTGAAATTTCTGTCTCTTGGGGCACCTGGGTGGCTCAGTCAGTTGAGCACCTGACTTCGGCTCGGGTCCTGATCTCACAGTGCATGAGTTCCAGCCCTGCATTGGGCTGTCTGCTGTCAGTGTGGAACCCGCTTTGGATCCTCTTTCTCCCTCTCTCTCTGCCCCTCCCCTGCTTGCACCCTCTCTCTCTCAAAAAATAAACATTAAAAAACAATTTGTCAGGGGCGCCTGGGTGGCTCAGTTGGTCGGGCGGCCGACTTCAGCTCAGGTCATGATCTCGCGCGGTCCGTGAGTTCGAGCCCCGTGTCGGGCTCTGTGCTGACAGCTCAGAGCCTGGAGCCTGTTTCAGATTCTGTGTCTCCCTCTCTCTGACCCTCCCCGTTCATGCTGTCTCTGTCTCAAAAATAAATAAATGTTAAATAAAATAAAATAAATGTTTATTTTGAGAGAGCACGTGCATGTGTGTGCGCATGTGGGGTATGGACAGAGGAAGAATCCCAAGCAGGCTCTGCACTGTTAGCACAGAGCCCGACGCGGAGTTCCATCTCACAAACCGTGGGATCCTGACCTGAGCCACAATCAGTCGGAGACTTAACCACTCAGGCGCCCCTTGTTCATCTTCTGTTGCGCCTCTGGAGTGATCTTGGGGCCACAGGTCAACCTATTGTGCCAGTTCAGCATCTTGGCCAGGTCATGGTTCCAAACAAAAGATGCTATAATACATACACTCCACCTTTTAACAAGTTCATGGTTTATAATACTATACAGTAAGTAGCCTTGGTCCATCCCCTGTGTCCGTTCCACACATAATTTGTTTTGGACGGATTAGAAATCCACCTCATGGCAGACTCACCTAGGAAGCTTCTTATGCTCTCAAGCATGGGGCTCTGCTCACAGATTTTGAAGATGATCTAGCAAGACACCATTACACACCCATTAGAAAAAAATTCCAAGCCTTTTTGAGGATGGGAGCGCCTGGAATTTTGTAGACAAATGATGGGAATGTGATAGGACAACTACTTCGGAAGAGTCTTAACAGTTTTTTTTATAAAGCTCAACACACATTGACCGTACAACCAGCAGCTCCACTCCTAAGAGAAATGAGAACATACGTTTGCACGAAGCCTTGTTAGAAATGTTCTCAACGGTTTTATTTGTAATAGCCAAAAAAATAAAAAAATAACGCAAGGGGCCATTAACGGGAGATTGCACAGACAAATGGCAACATCCGTATCGTGGAATACTAGCACCAATAAAATGAACAAACTACTGATCCACACAAGACAGGAAATTTTCAAAACCATGTTGTGCAGAAGCGGCCAGGCACAGAAGGGAACATCCTCTGCGATTTCATTCATACGACATTCTGGAAAAGGCAAAACTGTACTGACAGCAAGTGGTTGCCTGGGCCAGTAGTGGAGGGACACAAGGAACTTTCAGGGGGTGGTGGAAACGTTTGGTATCTGCGTTGTGATGGAGGCTCCACAGGTCTATATACTTGTCAAATTGCACTGAACTATATACACTGGAAATATATGCAGTTTGTTGTATATACACTATAGCTCAATAGTTTTCTTTTTAAGTATGTTTAAAAAAAAAAAATAGTCTGCAAGAGACAACCTTACTCCTAACTTTCTGTAACACAGGTCCCCACTCAGACACCTGCAAAGCCAGGCAGAGGAAGAGAGTCCAAGCAGTCAGGGTGCCCAAAGGGGACAGCCAGTTCCTGTGTAGACAGGCCAGGTTTAAGTCAAGAATACATATTTACCATTGGCACCTAATTCAAAGCTTTTGATGCCATGCAAGCCACACACAAATCATCAGGCCACATGTGGCTTACGGTCCGCTGACTTATGGTCTGCACCCTAAAATCTGTCAGAACACTGAGCCAAATGACAGAGTGGCTTTTCCTGGGTGTGGCTCCAACATGGTGCTCTTGACCCTCTCTGAAGGAGGTGATGGGAACGAGTCCAATGCCCTGGGTCTGGCCCTGTCCTGGGAGATGGGGCCCTAAAAACTCTTGACAAAAACCAGCTCTGTGGGAATGACCACTCCTCTCCTCTGATTCTGCCTCTTGGGGCTCCTCCTGTACCCCTGAGGGTGCCTTACCTGAGTTACAGTCACATCAGCACCTGGAAAGGCAGGACAGCCCACGGGGGCTTCAGGAGAACCCCATTTGCCCGAGTCCCCTGAATTCTGAGGGGATCGGGCCTGTGCTCGTCGCTGCCCTTGGAACGTGGGTGGCAGTTCTGCCCTCATGCTCCCTGAGGCACAGCCCACTTTCCTGAGCATCTGACACGCCCTTTGTGCCCCGGCTCAGTTTGGAGGCAGCCCGGTGTCCTGCGCCGTGGGCCTGGCCGTCCTGGACGTCCTAGAGAAGGAACAGCTGCAGGCCCACGCCGCCTCCGTGGGCAGCTTCCTGACGGAGCTCCTCAGACAGCAGAAAGCCAAACATCCCATCATCGGGGACGTCAGGTGAGGCTCAGGGCAGCTGCTAGGGGCCAAGTGAGGGGGGGGGGGGGGTTCTTGTATCACCTAACCACCCGGGTTGGGGTTGGGGGGCGGGATTTTTCTCTCTGCTCCACAGAACTAAAGCACTGAGAGGTGCTCTTGTCCAGAATGGTGCTTCTAGGGAAGGGAAAACCAGGATCAAACTAGGCTTGGACCCCCAACCTTTCCTGTTACCCCTGGGTTCCCTCCCGTCAGTTACTTCCTAGAACTGGGTCACCACCCTCTGAGAGTCCCTACGGCACTTAGCCTCCCCTGAGCCTCCCCAAGAGGCCGAGGAACAGCCCCAGAGCTGACAGGGGCTCGGCTGAGGCCCAGGACCGTGGTCCCTTGGGCCTGGCCTCCTAAGACAGTCTTTCTGCTCCAGGGGCACTGGGCTCTTCATCGGTGTGGACCTGATCAAAGACGAGGCAACCAGGACACCAGCAACTGAAGAGGCCAATTACGTGGTGTCCAGGTATTTTTTCTTCAGACGAGTTACCTTTGCAGCGTCTAAGGCCCTGACCAAGAGCCTCCCTCTCACTTCTGTTGTCACCATGTTCCCAGGCAGAGTGGGCATCTGGGCCTGAGCAGGGAATGGGCCACCCATCTGTGCGCCCCCTGGCTCTCCAGCCAGGGAAAGCAGCTGCATCAGCTCTGTGGCCCGTGTGTGGCTGCAAAAGCTTCAGATGGGTGCAGGCCATTCCCAGCCTAGAATGCCAAAGCCACGGGGCCCAAAAGCCACACTTCTCAGACCTGGGCTGCCGGAGGGGAAGAAGCTTCTCCAGAGCCACATCAGGGACTGAGGCAGAAGCAGACTCAAGGCTCCCTGTCCCCCAGAGGAGTGGGTTTGAGATGGACAGGTGCAAGGCATCTGGGTGACCGAGCATCTCCGGACTCCCAAGTCCCCCACCCCAGCCCATCTGCATGTTCCTGCGCTTGATCCCATCCAGGACCTGAGCCTCAGGACCCGAGCCTTGGGACCCTTCCCCTTGCTACTCCCTTTCTATCACCCTTCCCTACTCCTACCCGTTTCCCCCACCTTGAGAAACCCTTCTGGTGTGTCCCTATTCAGTGTGAAATGCGCATCGTTCGATTCTGATAACCCACGAACAGTAATGATGTAAAAATGTTCTCCTCCTCCAGATTTTGAGACTGACCCCTTTTTTGGGGGGTCCCGGCCCCGCCGCCTCTGCTGGCTGGGCACACCCACCAGTTCACCCACCACACCTCCTTTTCCCCCTCCCCCCACGGAGCCTCAGAACCCAGAAGCTGTGGGAGGAGGGAGCCAGACCTGGAGCCGGGCCTGACTTCTTCCACCTCACGCAAGTTCTCCAGTTCAGGGAGAAAACTGGAACCAGGGGCAGGTGGTGTACCCACAGTTGGCCTGCTTGTAGGTGGCACAGCCAGATGTGAAGTATGGACCTTGTTCTTTCTAGTACAACCATAGTCCATGCCAGGAAGAACGTATGGAAGAAAGGAGCCAGAAGGCAGACTGAGGACGCAGTCTGTTCCTGGCAAGACTTGAAAATAACAAAAAGAATAAAAATAAGAATGGAAGTGGGGGTCAGAGAATGTGAAATAACCATCAGCTCAGTCTCCTTTCTGGCCAAATCACCTTCCTAGTTTAAAAGTTGTACATGTGAGATATGAAGGTTCTTAGAAACTGGTTAAAAATAAGGGTGAAGTCATCTCCCTAAAAAGAAATGGAAAATTAAAGCTGCACAGTCCTCTGGGATTTCAAGATTACTTACGGGAAGAAAACAGAAACAAGGTTGGCAGGGAAATTATGAAGCCAGGTAAGGGAGTATGTCGGGTTCACTGTACCAGTCTGTAACACCAGTAAGTGCAAGGATCCTTGCTGTCTACATCGTAGCTGTGGTAGTCTTGGCTTAGACAGGAACTCCGGGACCGACAAGGTGAGGCCCCTCCCCTGGGTGGGGGAGGAAGCAGACTCAGGAACAGGTGCAGGACACCCTAGGTAGGAGCTGTTCATGCTGGGCTGCAAAGGGTGGGCAGGTAGGTGTTTGGGAAGAGGCAGCCAGTCCTGTGTCCTGGTGGGAACCCACCTGTGGTGGGGCTCCAAGGGTAGTGTGGCTGGAACCGGGGAGAGAAGGCTCTGCCATATCCTGTCCTCACAGGATGAAGGAGAACTACATTTTGCTGAGCACTGATGGCCCAGGGAGGAACGTCCTCAAGTTTAAACCCCCGATGTGCTTCAGTGTGGACAATGCACGACATGTGGTGGCCAAGATGGATGCCATCCTGACAAGTAAGCTGGGAGCCCAAGGAGGGTCTCTAGAGCTCAACCTGCAGCCAATAGCCAGGACATTCCAGCCTGCCCAGGAAAGGGGCTCAACAGCAAGCCAGGAGTCTTTGAAGAGACGGAGGGAACAAGGAGCTGAAGTGTGGAGGGGTCCCGGGAACCCAAGCCACCCCTTTCCCTGGCTGTGCCTAGAGGGCCTTCCTGAGCACCAAGTAGGCAGCAACTAGGGCACTCACCATCCTGCCAGGGTGGCACTCATGCAGACACGGGACAAGCTAACTACAACAGAAAACCCCACCATGGATCAGTAAAACCATGGAAAGGTAGATGGCAGGAACTTCGTGCCTTACTTGAAGGCTAGGGGACCCTCAGCTGCAGAGCTATTGGAAGGAGATTTGTAGCCAGGACTGATTAAATGCAAAAGGAGATTCCTCTCCACATTCCCAATCCCACAGGAACATCAAGGTCAGTCCAGGGTGTCCCCTAAGTGCACTTACAAAGCAATCTAGAATGCACTAAGGCAGTGCTGCATGTGTAGGGCTGGGAGGAGCAGGAGTGGGCAAAGTAGGCAAGATCCCATCTCCAGGTAGACATGAAAGCAGCCCCGCAGGTGGCCCCTCACCTCCCCCAGCAGACACAACTGGAGGTGGTGTGGGACCCGCCGTAGGGAGTGTATTCGTGGGGAGCCCAGGGGAGGAGAGGCTGACTAGCTAGCTTAGCTTTTGTGTGTAGGGGGCGCTGCAGTTGAGCCTGAAGTCTCAGGAAACATGGCTTGGTGGCCCATGCACATGGGGCAAGGGGCCAGACAGGCTGGTGGGCTCGATGTCCAGAATATCAACCAAGAAGCTTGGACACTAGAGAAAGGTTAACTTGTTTGGGTGCCTTTGTGATGTTTTTCAGACATGGAAGAAAAGGTGAGAAGTTGTGAGACACTGCGGCTCCAGCCCTGAGGCAGCCCTGTGGAGTGGTGTTCTTCTCTGGGTGAGTGGGCCTTGCTTCTCGAGACCCACACCTGGGTTCCTTGCCATCAGCGGTGGCTCCTTCACTCAGAAAGCCAAAGCTTTCTCTTAACATTTTGTTCCAAGTGATGTTCCCTTCCCCCAGATAGGCTTGAAATAATGGGCCCTTTCCAGACACCCTGCCAGAAAAATCTCCAATAGTTGCATTTGATAGCTGACATGAGAAAGCAAGAGTAGCACTTTCCTCCTAGAAGTAGCCAGTTCCTTCTAGAAGTGATGGAAAACAGAATTCTTTTTTACCAGGCTTCATCCATCTAGGGCCCTAGCCCACTGCCGCCTATTGCAGCCAGCTAGTCTCAGGCCTTAACAACCAGCCTGATTGGGCGTCCCAATCCAGGCAGCAGACAGGCTCTGCCAGGGCAGGGTGGGCTGTACTACACCACCCAGGAGGGGCCCCTCGTGTCCAAATCGAGCCGGCTCCTATGACACTGCCTTGGTCTACGGGACCATACTGTCCTCACTGGGAGACAGGATCCTATTTTCATTGGCAAGGTAAGGAGAGATGTCTGAAGGTGCCCCAACATCCTGCTGCGCTGGGGCATCCTTCACTGTACCACCTTCACCCCCTTGAACAGCTGCCTTCACTCTGAATCACTGAACTTTTTTCTAGAAGGGCAGGGCCAGATCATTAAAAGCAGCTGAGAAGCAGTACCCTGTGGCTGACAGGCTATGGCCGTGCCGGACAGGACTGCTGTTAGGTCACGGAGGGTACTGGAGCTTCGGAGGCTCAGGAGCACCTGGCCCTTCCCCGCTCTCCTCCACAGCACACCCCACACTCACCCAGGCTTTGGGGGTTTTTAAATTTTTATTTCAAAAGCTTGGATAGCTTCAATATCCAGGTCGTGGCAAAATCAGGACACGTGTAAAATACCTTACAATACATTAGATTCCCAAAAGGTACCAAAAAGTACAGTAAAATTAACACTTCCATTAACAGGAAATGTATGACACAAATAATATAAAATTAAAAGGTGAAAAAAAGGTGACACTGGTTTCCTAAGATACAGTTTACTCTTTACAACCAGGGTCCACAGGTCCAGGCTGCAGAGCGGCAGCAGGAAGCAGACCCTCCAATCTGGCTCTGGGTAACCCGGGAATAAAATCAGCCCATAATGCCGCTCTGGCCTCAGAGACCCCACACGCTGCCTACAACAACTAGAGCTCTGGAAGTAGTCAACAGGAAAGTGATTTCCAGGGGGGAAATTTTAAATAAGATGCACATGGGACAGGCCATAGAAAGTATGCCAAGTTAAATTTGGTACATAATTGTGTTCACTCAATATCCAAACAAAGCGTGTGCGATCGGTCGGGCATCCTGCCGAAGCCTCAGTACGGCTTGTAGTTATTCTGATGGCCACCGCGTCGCTGGCTCTTCCCGTAATTTGTACTACCCTGACCTAGGGACAAGAACAACAACGATAGCAGCTACGACTTACTGAGCCATTTACCCCTGTGCCAGGCGCTTGACATGCATCCTCGCCGGAGCCTACAGCCCCGTCCGGCAGGGGTCTGTCTGTGCCCCACCTTCCTGAGGCCCAGAAGCTCAAGAGCTCAAAACCGGGGAGCTCTAGTGGCCGAGCCGGACCACACACAGCCCAGCCTGTCCGACTCCAAAGCCCCTGCTGCCAGTGGCCCCTGAGCTGTCTGTCCTGCCTCCCAGGGTGGGTGAGCAGACGGGGCCTCCCTCTCTCCTACTTACTGTAGTCGTAGCCGGGGCCGTAGCCGTAATAGCCATAGGGCGAGTAGTCGTAGCCGCCATAGCCGGGCCCGTAGCCCTGCTGGTAGCCGTAGCCCTGGTTCCAGTAGTTGCCGTAGCCCTGATTCCAACTCTGACTCTGACCTGTGGGGGGAGCGGGCACAGGGGCCCGTGGACCATTTAGCACACGCAGGAGCTAGGATGGAGGAAATCCTGCCCTTTGGGTGGCGGGGCTGCTAATGGCAACTCGGGAGATAGAAGCCAAGGGACTGCCGTCCCAGTGTGGAGGGCCCCAGGCCCGGCCCTGCATCTGTGACCCGAGCCTGTGAGCTGCAGGCCGGGATAGGACTGAACACTGACTTCACTCAGGGCAAAAGAGACAGGAGCTCACTCTCACTCGATCTCCCTCTCCTCACCCCCACCCTCCCCGGCAGCTCGGCCTTAAAAAGGATGAAGTTCAGGCTTTGGAGTCAGAGGGGCCTGGACAGAAGGAGGTAAAGCGCCTGGCACAGCCCTGCCCTACCTTCTGCCCGCCCGCCCACGGGTGTACCAAGACTCGGGACAGCCGTGGAGACAAGCGCACCCTGTGCCCCCCACCCCTCCAAATGCAACGCAATCGCCCCTCTGCCCTGGGACCCCAGGCCATGAGAAAGCCAGGCTCTTCCATTCCAAGCAGCAGCAGAGCCGATGTGACTCGCCCCGGCGCACCATGCCCCGGAAGCCAGGGTGAGCCCTGAGATAGGCACGGAAGCTCCACACAGGCAGGGACCCTTCTTCATCCAGGTTCCACTCACCTCCGCTTCCGCCACCACCGCCACTGCCTCGGTTCCCTCGGTTGCGGTTCCCGCGGCCCCCAGAGCCATACTGCTGCTGCTGATACACCTCTTTGGGCTGGGCCACCTTGATTTCACACTGAAAGCAGAGAAGACAATGGGTCAGGCCACCATGACAAACTCCGGGCAGGGACTGTGGACAAAGACCTTTGCTGACAAACATTCAGATAGCCACCTGCGGCCACCTGCCCCAAAACAAAATATGCTCAAGTCAGAAGCCACATGTAGGCTAGAAACTTTCAGGACCACAACTAAAATCTAGATAGACCAGAAATTACTAGGGTCTTTTTGGCCGAAACCTTTCCCCAGAGAACTTACTGGGGATGATAGATACAACCCCAGGCCTGCTGATGGCTGCTCAGGGGCAGCTCTGTGTCTAACTGGGAGGATGGACAGCGAGGCCAATGCCAACCCAGTGTAGCAAGATCCCACATCAAGGGTCAAGTCTGATGCCAGCCTGGTCCTACTGGGCAAGGGGGATGAGAGGTGGCTTCCCAAATAAGAAGCCTTATAGGAGAAACAAAAAAAAAGAAACAAACCACCTTTCTCAATTTTTTTTCTTACAGAAGAAACGAAGCATCCCACTCAAATACACTGAAGTGGTGACCTTCAGCTTGGAGGATGAAAACCACTGAAGCTCAGGACAAGGCTTCCCTGAGGCCCTACGGCTCCACCCCCACCTTCCCCCAACCACTGGCCTATTGTCAAGAAGGGCCAGGAATCTGTGTCCCCTTAGGACGCAAAGAATCCTTTTTTTTTGCTCAAAAACTTGCCCACTGTGTGTGCTATGAGAGTCCAGGACCTCCCAGTGCTCCTAATTAAATCAGGAGTTTACTTTTTAAAGAAAATACCTGGGCACATATACCTCCCTAATTAGGACCAAGAAAAAAAAAACATATAATGTGTCACCATACAAGCATACTCTCCCTCGAAACTCAAAAAAATTAACAAGCTTCCCCCTCAAATGATGCCATCTGAGGTCTTCTGTTGAATTAAAATGCCAAATACATTTATTTCAAAACCCACTACCAGTTATAATTTACTACCTTACAGACACTTCCTATCCAGTTCACAGTTAAGACACAGAAAAAAAAGACCTTTGTGTCATTCATTGTCCACCGGAGGAACAATGAATGAGCGAGCTCTTACCCAACTGCTCCTAGGATTCAACATCATTTAAGGGCCCAATCCTGAATCCACTCTAACTTCCCAGCCAAGATTAAGACTTCCAGAAGCCCCACCCGACCCGTCCCACCTTATCTGGTTGCTCCTGTGGCTCAGGGCCTGCCACACCCAGCCACAGCAGGCCACACCCTCAACTGCCTCCTAAGCCACCTGGAGAATACCTGAGACAAACTACCTCTGGCCTGACCAGAGTTCAGAGGAAAGGGTTGCAGTTCTCCCTGCACAGCACTGAGCTCGTTTAAGGTAAAACTGGCCATGGATGCCAGCTCACTGAAACCCTGGGAGCTTTGGAAAGAATCTTCACCTGGGGTGGGAGTTCACTAAACCAGCATCCAAAGGGGGTGGAAGTGAACAAAGATCTGTTTGTGGCGAGACAGGAGATAATAAGCCCCAGAGCAGGAAAAGACTTCACAGGGAACTGCTAGATGACAGAAGTTCTAGAATCTTCTGAGACCTTAACTACAGGCCCTATTCGCCTCAAGACTACATTCAGAACACCTTGACCTCTAGCTTTCAATCAGAAATCAAAGGGGCTACTCAACACCCTCTACCCCACAGAAACCACCCTTTCTCCTTCCTCCCACACATCCTGTGTTTCTGCCAATTCTACCGGCCTAGGAACCCCCTGAAGGGCAGGACCATCTGCCCCAATCAGGAAAGCAGACGCTACAGAAAAACAGTTGGGTCAGACTGCCCTAGAGAGTCCACCTCCTAACCCACACCTGTAAAAGCCAATTCGCCAGCAGGTGGCCAGATACAGAGCTCGTGACACCTTACCTTACTTCCACTGATGGTGTGGAACTTTTTCTCCAGGACCTTCTTCACAGGTTCCTCTTCTTTGAAGGTGATGAAAACAAAGCCTCGTCTTTTGTTCGTTTTTGGATCCATTGGAAGCTCAATGGCCTCAATCTGTAAACATACACAAAGCTCAGAACCAACGCCTCTTCCCACCCCAGGACCCATTGGGAACTCCCAGGAGAAAAGACCCACAAAGGCCAGAATGAACAAGAAGCCTTGCTGAGGACGGCTAGAGCCAGCCAAGGCTGCCAAGAACCCGGAAGACCACAACCTCAGGGCAACCAGCAGACAGCTCCCTGAGTGACAAACTCACCTCCCCAAACTCGCCAAAGTATTCTCTGATCTTCTCCTCAGTGGCTTCAGGATTCAGACCCCCCACAAAAATTTTCTTTACCGGGTCCTTCTTCATGGCCATTGCCTTTTTGGGGTCAATGACACGGCCATCCAGTCTGTGTTCCTTCTGGTCTAGGACCTGTCCCAACAGAAGGACATTAGGTTCTAACTCAGCAGCATGACCCTGAACAAGGCCCTTCTCTTTAAGACACAAAGACCCCAACACTGGTACACAAAATGTGTATGTCCCCTCCAAACTCTACGCCGAACCTGACTTACCAACTCAACTTCTCCAAACTTCAAGTATAGCTACCCCCCATCACCTTCCCTGCCCAGTCTCGGTGTAAAGCCGGTCTCTTTCAGGAGTAAAGCAGCAGTATCTAGAGTATAGGTTGGAATCCACCCCTTTCTAGCTGTGTGAGCTCTTCTACTTAAACCTCTGAGTCTGTTTTCTGCAAATTGGGCCTAAAATAATGCCTTATTTCATAGCAACCCTGGACTGTTTTCTAATCCCCACAATAAAGCATCTGCTTCAGCAATGCCCAGAGTAGGCATAAAAACATAATAAACACCAGCTATAATCTTCCTGGACCACTCCAGTCCATACCCATCGCTCTACCTAATCTGCATTTTTAATTCCTTCAAAAACAAGAAAGTTCCTCACCTCTGCTGTTGCCAAAGCCCTCAACCACTTACAGCACACACAAACTAATCACACTCTAAGAATGATATCCTCTTAGATACACTTAAGAGCGTTGACATCAAATACGCAGCTTACCTTCTCCACACTGGCTGCATCTTTGAAGAGGATAAACCCAAACCCTCTTGACCGGCCAGTGTTGGGGTCCATTTTTATTGTACAGTCAACGACCTCTCCAAATTTGGTAAAATAATCCTTTAGGTCCTTTTTGCTGGTATCCCAGCTCAGGCCACCAACGAACATTTTTCTGAAATGGTAAAGACACGTGCCAACAAGTCTTACAAGAAGCCTTGTGATTTTAGAAGGGCTGGCCCTGACAGAACCTTCACTGTAAGGGTTATAAACAAGGTGGCCATCCGGTCAAAGATATACCCTTAATGTCCCCAAGGGAGGGTACTGCCCTTGGAATGTACTAACAAATCTTCACTACCCTCCCAAACAACCTTGACCCTAACGGAGCAGCCCCAGACTGGGCAAAGAAGAGCACTCTTAGCCTGGGCTAGAAGCCCCCGCAACACTCTTAACTGTAAGTCTTTTGACTACCAAGCAAGTACCAAAAGGCTGCCGTCCCTGCCCGTCCTCCCCACCCTCGAGAACTCGCCCTCAAGGAACTCGAGGCTTCCGGGGGCCGGAGACCGCGTTCAGACCGTGACTCCGCCCTCCGCGGGGTGGGGGAGGGAGGCCGCCGCCGGGGCGCGCGCCAACTCCGCCCACGCAGCCCCGCG